CGTATTTCATTCCAACGCAATGTAATAATGCAAATATAAACACTGAGTGAAAAACGAAAGCCAGTGGATTATCTTTAAGTTTTCTCAAAAGGTTGTATTTCCCACAGGGACGGCAGTTTTAAACGGTGTGAATAGCGAGACAGGAATTCAGTCGGTCTCTGCAAGAGGACCGGGAAAACATGGACTAGTCTGAACATGTTCTGAACAAGCTTTGATCTGGCATCTGCCCAAGTGCCTGGCTCAACCCAAAAAGTGGGTAAGAGTTCATAAAAAGCTACACATCACTTCATAATCATAATGACATTACACTCCCATCGCAGTGTAAGCTGGTGGCAGGATGAAAGAGCTTTGTGTGTATTTGGTCAGCGAGGGCGGGGGGGGACCATCAACTCGACCGCGTTCGGCATTTTAAATCCGTTAAAAGCAACTGGTGGCCCCGGACGACACAAAGGACATGTGTGACCTGTTTTGACTGCTCATTCGCAGAGCTGCTGGTTTGGTTTGGTAGGGGTTGACTGCATTCCTCTTATGTCCTGTGGTTACTTGAGCATAACTGCATTAGCGGTGCTTTGATAGCAACACCAACACAGCCATTCACTTGACTTTTCCTTCTCTACGGGAGTTTAAATCACCATACAAGCACAGATCTGGTGCGGGAGCAAGTGGAGAGTTTATTTAAATCACATGACTGTGAAAGTGAAGCTCATGACACGCAATAAACCAGTTAGTCTGGGCAGGCTCACAAGAGGTCAGTCAGCATGTAACCCGTATTTGCACTTGCACCCGCCGTGCCACCTCAGGTTGGAGCTTTTATTTCCTGTGGCTTAAGCAAGAGCAGGGGCCAAGTAGCTTGCAGGTCCGGCTAAGCTGAGATCATCTTGAGAGATTTGCAATGCACATTTTAGATTTGAATAAAAAGCAAACTGGTCTAGCCCCATGGTTGGCAGGCAAACAAGGTGACACTCGGTCTCCCTTTTCCTGACAACCGAGCATGGATATGCATGCAAATGCAAACTGCTTTTGGTTTACTGATGACAAATCATCACCCCTGTTAAAGGTATGTACACATGATGAGGGATCATGACCGCGTGCTGCCCGAACACAACAGCAATGCCGAACACAGCGCCTTGAAGGACAACTCTCAATCACCGTACGAAAACCTTTTGATTGATTAAAACACAGACCCTTGTTTTGTCTTTGTCTCCTCGTTGCGAGATTAGAACAGTGACATTAACTGTTGATGATTTCTCCAAAAGTCCCCATATGATAGAGCTCCTGGGGCTATAAGGCTGGGACACCGGGCCGTGTGAGAAACGGGCCGACAGGAACGAAACCACAGCAATCCCTTTCAGTCTCCTCTCCCCGGGGGGGAATCCTCTTACAGCACTTCCCCTGAACTCTGAAGGCCATTTTCTATGCAAAGGTAACATGGTTATCTGCCCATCAATGGAACACAATAGGTACATTCTAAAAAGCTGAATGGCTCGACGACTGGAAACTCGTAAAATGACAAAGACAGGAGTTTTAACTAAAAGGGATATCAAAAGGAAGATTGACTTTCAAATGAATACATTGTTTCAGTTTGTTACTTCCTTATACGTGAGGCCACCTGAAGGGGCACATACAGATTTACGCTGCTCTTAAATGCATATACACACACAGCCTACAGAGTAAAGGGTTGCTAAAACGGATTAATGATGCCTTTGGAGGCCATCCAAACACAAAACCTCACTTGTCCGATAGAGCCGGCACATAAAGAGAGGCGGTGGATGCCTTAATAAGGGTGAGGTGTCTGCAGAACGTCTGTTCACGCTCCTGTTTAGGAAGTCTCCACTTTAGCCAGATAAGGATCATGAGCCATCATTGCCCACACCTCCGCTATCATCTCTATAGATAAGGCTGCTGAAGGTACCCATCAGTGGAATCACTCGGCATGTGCGGACTCAAAACACTGTGCTGTTATTTTCTGAAGCACACACACACACTTGGTCAAAAGACAAAAGCGCATTCAGTGCGTTTGCCACCTCTCTGACAAGCTAATTGCCTCCTCGGCACTTTGGTGCTACTCGAGAGGCAGGATGCAGCAGCAACAACACAGGGACATGCTACTACTCTTTAAAAGTTTCCATACACATCAAACACGCTTTATGACGTGGTGAAGGAACACGTGTTCAGCCTGCATCTGGCCATTCATAATCAAACTTCTGGTTATGGGCAACGTACACACACACACACACACACACACACACACACACACACACACACACACACAAGCTGCTGAGAGCAGGGCATGAGAACAGGGGGGCGAGATACGTAGATGTGGACCACTAGATCAACGGGACTTCAATGACTTCTTGCTCAAAATAAACCCATCACGTGCTTAATCCATGTCCAAAAACAGGGCTTTGAAATTTGATTGGCCGTAAGTATAGAAAATGCTGGAGGATATCCAGCTTGTACTGAACTGCAGAGTCTGGACTTGTTAAAGAAGTGGATAAAAGCCACTCTGTCAGACAGTAGTTGTGCAGATTTGCACGTTTGGAATGCCTCGTTTGAACTTGGCAGTCATACTCTCGATAACTACAAGGGGCACAAGTGGGGAGGGAAAAAAGAGAGAAAGTATTCATCTTATTTAGGGCTAAATATTCCCCCAACAGTGCCAGCCACTCTCAGCCGAGGCACTGCCAATGAATGGCATGTGGATTCAGCACTATATTTGGAAAATGACTAGCAGCACATGACTTCACTTTTGAATTTGTGGACATGTGCATGTGGGTCACTGTATTAATGTTACTGTAGATAGTTCTTCATTACCATTATTGAATTTTTTAAAGTGTCACACAAACCCAAAATGTAATAATTTACTGATTTAAAAAAGCACCCCCCCAGGGCTAAGTAGTCCCATACATGACATGTGGAATACCCATCACACAACACCACAGGTCCAGCTGGAAGATCAGAGCTTGTGGTAAAGGAAGTGTGCTTCAGGGAAACTCCAGTCCCCCAAAACAAAAAACAACAGTGTTTAAAATGAAGGAACCAAACGCCCTTTCGCTGGGAATATACAACGACCAAGCGCTGCTTGATCTCCTCTAACAATGCAAGTGATTAACAACAGCCTCAATACACAAAAAACAGTCCCTGTCCTACTGAGGAAAACAAGCTGGGGTGAGAGTGAAGGTCTTCTTCATACATTGCTGTCTGGAACATTTCAATTTGACTTCTTTCACGCGGGCTCAACCAGCTCTGGAAACAACATGAATTACACAAGTTGTTTCATTCAGTCAAACATCATCGGTGATTACATGCTGTACAGTGGCCACTGAGGACAATACAACCCTGTTGAGGACTAATAATATATAAGATATGAAGTCTTAAAAACGTTCATTTAGACTTGACTGACCCGAGCAGACCAATCGGTGATCTGTGGATTGGTTTTAAATGATGACAACTAGCAGCGCTGTAGTTTGATTATTAGTTGAGAGCTCTATTTGTGTTGTGGCTCTGACGGCTTAGAGGCAGATCCTTCGGATTTCTCGCAAAGTAATTGTAGTCTACACCCACAAACAAGGCCTCTAACTGAAGCAAAAGGCTGTTTGGCCTTGCTAGACCACAACGGGGAAAGTTAGATTTCGGGGATGACTTTGCAAGGCTGCATCTTCTGCTTTGTTGAGTTCGGAGTGTACAAACAAAGTGGCAGTGAGCACTTTTGATAAAGTGAAGTTCATTACAACCCTGAACAACAATGAGAGAACTACATAATATATCCCCATGCATGGTTTGCGGTCATTAGTTCACTTCTACCGGGTTTGTAGGAATCTGCAAATCCACCGGTTGAAACCTTACGGAGACAAATGCTGAGTCAGATTTGCGGGAGACTGACAGCAATGGAGCCTGACTGACAGCAATGGGGCCAGTGTAGAAAACTAATCCCCCATCCATGCGTGCCCTGGCCCATGCCTAACCCTTCCACGATCCCCTTTAGCTCCCGACTATCGATGAGCACCGGCAGGCATGAGTCAATCAGCAGGTACTGCACCACAACGCCGTCATAGTTCCAAACAATAACAAATCAGAGTTTACCCTGAGATACAAAGTATGGGATTAAAAAAGGGAAGTCCCCTATGATTTGTTTTGGGAAGTTTCCAAATGTCCTAAACTGTAAGCAAAGACGAAGAGCTTCATCCCACTGCTAGCGATATAAACAGCCTATTACTCCTTTTGGCATTAAATACAAACACTCTTCGCTTTTATGGGTTTGGAACGACAGCACTCTCTTGACTACTTCCATCCATACTGCACATACCATTTGGTGTCGCTCACTAGACATACCTCTGCTCTGAATCCAGGTTCAAACAGTACTGATGTAATTGCCATAGTAAGCATTCCTCTGACCATCTGAAACAGGTATGGCTTAATAAAGTCTGAAGAAGAACAAAAAGCACTAAAACAGGTCAAAACAGAGGGATCGATAGAGCTCCAATCATTGTGACTCCTTCAGAGGGAGCAAGACTGCAACACCAGGGCAGTGACTTCTTGAGGGCAACATTAAAGCGAGTACTGGTTACACACCAGGATTACATAATTAAAAACAATGAGTATGAAGAGAGAGTGCATTGGGCTGTGACTGTGTTCACTTTTTTCTCACTAGTTCAATGGAAACCGGTTTTAGAGTAGAGAGGGAAACGACTGCCAGATGAGAGTCTGTGGTCTAAAGTGTTAACGTTACTGACTTCGGGATTTCTCAGACAGATTACACAGCTAGCATGAGTGACATAGCTCAACTTGCTAACATCTGTAAGAGTAAAAGAAAACGCAGTGTCCCATTGTTAATGTATGTTGTGTCACACAGGAGCGGTTTCTACGAAACTAGCGCGAGATAACTGAGCAGCGACTCATATTAGTCGAGACAGAATAGCTTTTAAAAGAGCGTTGTTGTTGTTGTTAAAGGGTTATTTTAAATTTAAATTAACGTTACAAACAAAGTGCTCCAGACTTACCTCTCATCCATTCTACAACTTGCTTTTGCGTCCACTTTGTTATCGGCTCCATGGCTTCTTTAACGCAACAAAAGGTGCCAAAGTTTGGCGACGGGGTTGTACAATTTAAATTAAAAAAAATATATGCTGTCACATTGTCAACAGGTCGGTGCTGCTCGTCTGTTTGTGTTCACCCACTAAACAGCTCCGTATACACGCGCGAGTGGAGGCTGGACTGAAATCTCCTCACCGCCTCGCGCTGAGATCAACGCTGCGTTCAGGAGCTGCCGGGAATACTGGGATAAAACACGATTGCGGTTACAAAGAAACGACCAAACAAGCCGTGTTTATGAATGGATGCATTCATTGTGCATGTTTATCGGAACAAAATGTGATCAGGATGCATACCTCCCTTTCACATGAAAGTATTTATTTTTTGACTGATTTTATAACAGCCATTTTTATACTTATTTCCGACAAAACCACTTGAACACCAAACAGTCAATGCCAATCTGGAATGGAAGCAGGAGTTTACGGAGAGCACCTGAACGTGGCGTATGTTGTCGGTAGTTTCTGTGTTCACCGCCCTCATTTGAAACTGGAGGTGTGTAGTTCCACATATCATACAGTGCGCTGCCCACTTTATATTGTGTTGCTCCTGAAAATAACTGTCCAAGAACACAGGTTATACTGTGAGTCTGTCAACATAATATAAATGGCGAATCACAGTTAATAATGTCCGTGCATCATTTTGTACAAAGTGTAGACATCTGTCTATATTATATGGGTCATATTGGTAATGCCTACTGACATGACATTAAGTCTTTATTGTTTCATTAGCTATTTTTTTCAGTCAGATTTGCAGTCATTTAAGAAAAAACTTTCTTTCCACTAAACTAAATGCGGCTCAGCGCTGCTCTCTGTTGGTGACTAGCCTCTTTGCAAATCATGTACACACATGTTCACATTAAAGCTTTACATTGGATACAATATCAGTAACTAATTGGGAAAAAATATATACATAGACCCAGATAGAAAGACACTATTGTCTAATGTGTGTGTGATTGAAATTTCTGAACAGTACTGACTGACTGACATAAAACCCTTTGGATTGTTATTTTCTCCCCTCAGTGACAATATCTGATGTATGATCATAAAGAATTTACATTTGACCAAACGTCATCTTATTTCCTTGGCTGATATGGTGACATATGCTATACATGTAGACTGGGATTGGTGAGAGCAGGTGTACAGGTTTATTGTGTGGCAACAGCTAGCTACACTAAAGATTAGAAACCATATCAGGTAGCGTAAGTGTTAGGAAATATAAAAATAAAATAGAAACCTTCTTCTTTTGAAACGATAGGGTTGATTTTAATGTATATCTATTCCATACATGTGTTGAAACTCCAGCATGTTTTCACTATTTGCCTTCCTTAAGAGGCTTTGCAACGTTGATAGTTTTACTATCATGGTTTGTGACATTAAGTAACCTCTCCTGGCTTATTGTTTTTTAACAATCTGAAACACACCTTGCATGTGAGAGTCCCGGCCCTACCCGTCACTCCATTACTGAACAGCTGGCAGCTGTTGTACACTCTGTACTGTAATCAGCTGCAGAAGCTCGGCTGTTATTATACCTGGGCACGTATCAATTTGCTCGTTTCCTTGCTGCCAAGACATATTTTGAATAGGAGTCCTTTCTTTAGATTAAAATTAATTAGAGATTTTTTTCTCCACTATAGGTTAACCAAGGTAAATTAGGTGATGGCTGACAGGTAGAATGCCCGAGGTAACCTTTTATAGAAAACCAAACACAAAACAAGGGAAGGTGAGCCTGATTAGCACATTATAAGACAAAAAAAGTATTTAAGATATCTTTAATAAAGCACAGCGTGTCAGTTTTACCACTGTTTACGAGAAAGCTTTTAAACACAGTTTTCTAGAGTTTGGCTGAAAACTATACAGCAAATTGCAGTTTTTGGTGACTAATGCCCCTTGAAGCTCTTATACTTTTAATCTCCTTCAAGGCAAGATTCACAGTATGTTTGTGTACACTGTTGCCAGGCATCACAAACATTTCTGACTGCAGCAAACGGGAGACTCAGATCCACGGTCAGTTCTCATGGGAGTGGGCTGGATTGCAGGGGATCTGGGTGGTGTGGAATTCAGGGGAGGCCCTCCCTGATAGGATTAAGTGAATCATGGGATTGGAGGTGAGACGGAGGGATGGAAAGGGTTGTTTGGTCGGATGAGGAAGAGATGGCACCTGGGAAACTGGAAGATCAGTATTGGTAACCCTATAGTTGTGTTAGGTTAGAATTACAGAAATAGTTCAAACTTCCTCATGCAAAAGGTCAGCTTAGAGAATCACAACGGCCACGCATCAGAGCAACTTCGTTATTCACAGCTCCCAAAAACAGTGAAACAAAGACCCGTGAAGATAAGCAAACTCGGCATGATCTCGCTTGTATTCTGAGTCAACATTTATTTCACCCTCAAAATAAAGGAAGTTCAGTTTTGGCAGTGTATATTATTCTGGGATCTACATTAAAGATGCGGCTAATAATGCCACATAAACAAAGGCTAAAGGGCTAAAGATGTAGAAGAGAGAATACAAATGAACCCACTTCCTGCCCCTGACAGGTTTGCTCTGAACAGATTTATACCTGCAGGAGGGGAAACGTCCCGTACCCTGTAGCTAAATGTCACCATTTCATGTGTGTCGCCATATACTCCGCTGCATGTGTTTTGGCAGCATAGTGTGGGTTGTCATATTTTATATATTCATCACACAACATGACAGATCAGAGACTCTGGATGTTATTACATGACTATAAGCAAGGTTTTCTTTTGAGGTTACAGTTGTCCCCACAGCAATTCATAATGAAACTATCACAGATTTTGGACTTGCAATGCATTCATATACTTCAATGTTGCCAGGTAAATTAAAGTGGAAAAACATAAAGGGAGTCATAGCATTTTAACTGCTCACAATTATTATTTTCCTTCTCTTTTTGGGGCACCAGATCTTAGACATCAGCATTGACACTAAGATGCCTCATCACAGTGTAAAGGAGCATTTCAGGCTGATATAAAGAGAGCAGTGTGGTAAAAAAAAACACACACAGAAGACCCTGTGTGCCGATCTTGTTGCTGGGGACTCGACTTGAAGGGATGATTAAGCTTCAGAGTCTTGAAGCCTTTTATGAACCCATTTAAGAAGAAAAGACATTTAATTTCGCCCATGGAAGTACATTGGCAAAAACATGTTTCAACAAAATTTACATATTCTCTCTGTAAAATGTTTTCTGCAGCTGCACCCATTTGATGTGCAGCGTTGAGTCTCAACTGCACGTCTTAATTGTCAAGTACATTTTGTTGGCGTTTAAACAGCATTAAATACAGTCTATTCTTTAGAACAACAGCTGAAGATCTTTACTACAGTGAAACATCAAAAGAAAGAAAGTTGTCGAATTGGAATGCAGTTTTTTTTTTGTTTTTATGGGGCATTCTGTGGGTTTGAAGGGATGGCGGGTCTGGCGTTGAGGTACTCCAGAACAAAAACCTGCATGATCTTGTTGAGGTTCTGAATGGTGGAGCGATCCAGGTTCTGCTCGTTGTCATCAAACGTGTGCCACACGGACGGGAATGGGGAGGGGATGAGGTGGAGGATGGGTACACCTGACAGAGAGGCACAGGATGAGGATCAGCCAACACAGCTACACAACATATGTAATCATATCTGCGGTAGTTGTGTTACTAGGTGGGTATACCTCTGTTTAGGAATGGTATATGATCATCTTGCACGTGGCCAACAGGTTGATTGGGCCAGAAGTATTGCACGTTGTTAGGATGATCCACAAGCTGGTTCGTGGAGTGTAAACGCATCTCTGTAGTTGTAAGAGGGAGGACAAAGAGTAATAATGTCTTCAGGGACTGTTAGCAATTTGAGCTACAATCTAGATAAACAAAAAATATATCATCTCCACAGTGCAGTCATGACATCACAATAGTTGCAAATAAGTAAAAGATACAGTGTGACAGATGTCTGACAATTTGAGTGTCACAGTTGCAACATTGGTCTCAATACGATGATGATAGTCTGCAATATGACTAAAGTATCAATGACTATTCATCCAAGTGTGTTTTTTTTGGTGGCACACCTGAACCAAAGTAAACAGACCTACATGGTGTTGTACAGCAGTAGTAAAAAACATGTGATTATTCACCAATGCTCTGCAGTCTGGAGAGCCAGTGCACCGTGCTGGGGAACTGGTTGTAGAAGCGTGGGCCGGGGGCCCCGATCAGGTCCAACAACACAAACAGATCCTGGAGGAGAAGAAACGATGTCAGTGAGCTCTCATGAGAAACTCTCCCTCTACACATCCCGAAGATAAGTAAAGACAAGAAGCCAGGTCCCATAATGATCAAACCTCAGAGCCCCTGCTTAGAGGTGCGGTGGTGCAACACACTGACATAAATGCTCCGTGCTATCTCTGCAGGACACACAAATCACAACTGACTGTCTGTCTACATCCATTCACACACACACAGGCACACACACACACTCGCACACACACATACACACACACACACACACACACACACACACACACACACACACACACATACACACACACTAGGTTCTTTAAGATGCTGTCTGTTTTATCTGTCTGTCCACACAGGAATGTCTACATAGATAGTCAGTCTCACTATCTCTCCGTGGTTGGGATACAGAAAACATTTAAACCAATTAAAGTGACGTGTTGTTATCATAGACTGTATAATAAATGACGCTTGATATCATGACAGCCAAGCCTCCCAGATGATAAAATGGGTGTCTTTGTGATTTGTGATTTTCCCTGAAATACAAAGCCATTTAAGACATGCGCCTCCCTGGTTGAGGTGTCTGTGTGGGCTGTGGGAGGAAGAGGAGATAGGGACTAAACAGATTGTACTGAAAATAATGTGCACTGACAACGGTATGATCTTAAGTGTGATTACAGTGAAGTGGGAGCAGAGAACTGGGGTGTACCATGGCGTGCAGTTGGTTTGTGTCCGTGGCTCCGGCGGGATGTGGGGTGGTCTCCATCATCTGGGCCAGGTGGCGAGAGCCATAAAGGGAGTCTGTGGCGGTCCACTGGAAAAGAGCCTCCTCTCCATCAAAGAAGAGCAACTGCAGGGTGAGGTCAGGAGTAGTGCTCTGCATGGGAGGTAAAGAGAAGACGGTCAAGGCATTCGCAGAGTTCTGCTACCCCCTAGTGGTTTTGACAGAAACTGCCTGAGGTTTTCTTTGGTAGTTTTTATGTGAAATATTCCTTTAAAATTGTTGTAACACCCCCAAAAATATGTTTCTGGAACAGTAAGTGGTCATTAATCAGCTGTGATATTGATCAGGACTCCGCCTCCATGGCACCTAATGTATTTGTATTCATATTCCCACCGTGACCTTTGTGACGGACGGCTGAGACTGATAAGCATGTCTCTCGGACGGTCTCTCCCTGTCACAGGACCTGTCACTGTCCGCCCGACAGACAGGGGCCTGAGCTCAACTGTGGAACAGGAAAAGGGCAGAGGAGCAAGCTACATGAATACTAATGTGTGTTCCTTATGAATCACTGGTTTGTGGGGCGATCAAATATTGTTTTGTTTTTCCATGAAACAGAACGAATATTTGGACTTAAGATGCTGTTGTTGCCTCTGATTTGTTGGGTGTCAATAAATTATAATGAAGTTGAAAAAATGTTGTTTTTTTCTAACATCTAGCAAAATCATAAACCTCTTATTGACTGACTAAATCTTCGTTATTGTGAACAAATCACACAAAATAAGCAGCAATGAATTGATGCTACCAACAAGTGTTTTCTGTGTAGCTGAGATGTTTCTTAATCTGGAGCTGAACTGAAAATAGTCCCTAACAAATGCAGCATTGACATTGCCCAGCTGTTTTAGGAAATTACATTTAAGAAAAAAAATTAAACTGTAATATTGTGACTACTTTTTCAAAGATTTACGTCTTCAGAGTACCACAGACAAGTAAGACAGCTGGAACGTACCGACAGACTGACTCATGATTGGTTTTGGTCTTTTCATGGAATTTGTTGAGAATAAGTTAAAATGTAGATACCACCAGCCTAATCCTTTAAATTAAACTTGGAAAAATGTCGTTAGTACCACCTTCTTCCCTCTTGTAGTTGTTTCTCATGTTTGAGTGTCATGAAGAAACTCTACAGTGATGTTTAACCTGTTCCTGGAACTGCCTGCAACACGTTTGGCCTTGTTTTTTTCCGGAGCTTAGTGCCAATGTTGTATGACTCCCCTGTGACTCCCCTGTGACTCCCCTGTGACTCCCCTGTGACTCCCCTGTGATTCACGGCCACATCTCGAGTCAGTGCTGGCCATAACCACAAAAAACAAATACACCCCCTCAAACGAAAAGCCTATTGAACGCACACAGGAGGGACTGAGGCATCTACACATAGAGTCACAGACAGACAGATGGACCAGTAGTGTACCCTTTAACTTATTGTATGTTGCCGCTTTAAGTCACATGCTAGGCCCACCACCTTCTGAGCTTTCAGTTCTTCATCCAGAGCGCGCGCCAGCTCCAACATCATGGCACAGGGAACGGCAGAATCCGTGGCGCCTTGGAACTCCCTCCCGTGCCATTGTGGTGGGTAGTACTTGGAGTCGTAGTGACAGGCCAGGACCAGGCGGCGACTGGCTGACGAGTTGAGGGTGGCAACTATGTTCGTGAAGGGCAGTTGGCCGTAGGGTGTTTGTGACACAAACTTATCCTCCGTCACCTCCCAGCCTGCTCCGAGGGAACCGAGGGTGGTTTTGATATGCTGCGAACACACAAAGATAATGACTTAAAGAGCATTCAGCCTGCAATTCACCTTACCGATTATCTGTGGCAATAAGTTTTCTAATTTAGAAATTGCTTGTATTTTCTACTGTTACATCATATTAGGGCATGCAACGTGGAGGACTCATTCACAAGTGTAAACCAGTGCATCTATGCCTGTAGCTGCCATGACGTTGCGGATAAAAGAATGTCTTCCGAGAGGGAAAAAGTAACAGTTTTTACATTTTTCTTTCCATTTATAGTCAATTATGTGTGTTACATGTTTTCTGTACAAGTGTTTCTGTCTTTGAAACTGATCCATCCATTGATATGTTATTCTGCAAGAACCATAAGCTCACCTCCTGCACGGCCTGGCTGCCTGTAGAGCCTGGGTACCTAGTGACCATCAGCGGCCTCAGGTCCCTCTGCCACATCTGCGCCAGGTCAGTGTGGGACAGGGCGGTGCGGATCTCCTCTTGTGTCAGAGTGACAGCTCGGTGATGAAGCTGAGCGGAGCCAGAGGAAACAATCGAGATAACACAAAATGGATGAGAAATAGCATCGGGTCCAATGAATATTTAGAAAGGAATTGAGTGTGTCCAGAAAGATCAGATTGTGATGTACTGTTAACGCAGCGTTGCACATGGAACAGAGAATATTCCCCTATTGTCAGTCAGTGTCTGCTCCGGCACAGTTTCAGATCAACAACTTCCTTGTATAATAGGGAAGTCTTTCTGTGATGCATTGCATCGAGCAGCAATGTGGATGACACAGCATACAGATTAATTGATTTAAGTGTGTCACAACACTCTCTCATGTTACTGGAAACCACTCCCTACTGCCAACAGTGGATTTGTTTCATTACAGTATTTAAATTATTAGAGACACCTGAAGAGAAAATACATCATAAGAGGGATTTATTTTAGTCATCTACATCACCTACATCACAATGCCATACATGTTAAAGTAATAATCTCGAAGATTTTCATTTCAATGAATGTCTGTTAGGCCACTATCTCTTGCTGAATGAGGTAAACACAGTGGCGATTGTGCAAAAGGCCCACTGACGTAAGAGCTTGCAAATAAAGGAATTCCCATCACTGTGGTTTAAAATACTGCGAAGTGAGATCCAAAAACACGCCGGCAATTACCGCTCATCGACAAAAGTAAGAGAACAAAACGGAGATCTTTGAGATTGTAACATTAACAAAAAAAACAAACATTAAAAAGCACCAATTTGATCTTGTGGTACGGTTGTATCAACCGTTACACGGGCTGTGAAGTTCACTCTGACACCTCCTCGGAGCGAGGCACATGGGCCAATTAGACCAGTGTGAATAGACATTGATTTTCTTCAAGAACACACAAGGGCTACTTCAGAAAAGCAGGGCTCTATTGAATGAAGAGGCAGACAAGTAAAAGGTGTTTGTTAACATGCTCTCCCTTGCTCTAAAAAAGTTTGTGTAATATAAGGAACGCAATACGGATTTGGTTTCAGGTTTGTCCATTCAATGGGTGCTAAATTACAGCCATTGGTTAAAAAAACATATCGATTCTTTGATCCCATGTCTCTTTTCTCCCGTTTGGTCTCAAAGTTCACCTGCTGAGCAGCGTGGTTGTCCTGGTAACAAACTGTCCTGAGTGAGAGGACAGAGAGCTGATGAAGAGTATCAGAGCACAGTCAAAGCCTGTCTATGTGCTCTGCCCTTTGGTTAGTCCTTATTGGGCAATGTGATATATTGGGGTTGTCGAAACCATACTGACTGAATTATTTAAACGATCTTGAATGATTTTGCAGATTTTTTACAATATTTTATCAATCATTTAGTTGTGAAATATTGAAAAATGTCCATCACAGTGTCCAAAGTGACGTCTTCAAATTGCTTGTTTTGTCCGACTGACGTTCCAAAACCCGAAGATAAACCATCTGAGAACCTGAATGTTGTCATGTTTAGTTTGACATGCAAAGTAAGTCTTTAGATTTTTTATGGGAAATCACAGTAGACATTTGTTTTCCCTCCTAATTTGGTTTCATTTTACTCTCTCAGACAACAGGGGAGGCCACATTCCTTAACTCTGTTCACTACAACTGAAGCATACAACATTCACTTACAAAACATGTTCATGCGTTGGGCCCATACTGACCGGCTGTAATTACAGAGTGGCATACAGTGCAAAATGTGTAATTATGCGGTCACACAGACTGTATAGTCAACCGAAGCACTAGGGCTCACTGGGTTCAGAGAGGGTTAAAAGGGGTCCACTTAAGGTCTATAAATACCAAGACCTGCAATTGGAGGATCAATGATGATGACAGTGCTGCCATAGCAACTAGGCGAAAAGGAGAGGAGAAGAAGAACATAAATGAGGAGCATGAATGGCCAGGCATACCCAGGTGTGTCTCAGGAGAATTACACAACATGAGCTGGGAAACAGTGCAGAGGGCTGCTGGAATATCATGAATAAATACATTATGCATATCACAACTGTATTTGGGAACTTGTAGATTTCCCTCTCTTATAATGAACAGTCTAACTACTGGGAGATTGACACTTTAAAAGGAAACATTTGCACACACAGAGACACGATACAAACAAAATTGGAGTGAGTCATTTTTTCATAGAAATCCAGCATTTCTCTAAAAAAACAATTTGTTTAATTGGGTTCAAATGCGTTTAAGTTACAAAAAATAAAGTAAAGATGATATTGACACTTAATCGATAATTGAAAGCATTTATTTGAGCAGTGTTTAAATAGGTGACATGGCAATAACAGTGAAGAAAAGCTACATGTGGCAAGTTTTTCTAAATGGTTTACTCTTGGAGCATGGTTTTCTGGGTGTCTTTGTACAATTGCCTGGCAATATGTTAAGACCACTAAACATGAATATATCCTCTCAATTTATTTACCTTTTCTTCTGTCCAGGGGATTCCAGCGGTGCAGTGGACGAATGTCACCCAGATGGCCACGGTGTAAAATAAACGCATCTTGGAGGGACCGTGGCTTCGCTCGGTCATCGTTGCTGTCGCTGCTCTCCACATTCCTGTGTCTCTCCTCTGTGAGAGATTACAGATCATGTGAAAAGCAGGAGGGAGGACCCGAGGCTCTCTGAACCACAGCGCGTCACCGCCCTGTTAACGCCTGTGTGTGTGTGTGGGTGTGTGTGCTTGTGTGTGTGGGTGTGCTTCGTCCACTCCCAGGAAACTCATGAGTACGACACACGGGCCCCCTTTTTCATTTGATAATTGCTCATTTTCAGCAACAGATCAACACATTTACAGCATTTCAAAGTCCCAAGACAATTTGAATGGACCCATTAGGTTTTTTTATTTAACGTTTGAATGCGGGCTTTATACAAAAAAGCAAAGAAAAAACGTAAAGTATAGTATATTAAGATGTCATTCTTGCAGATACATAATTATAGGAAATCGCGCTTTGCTTGGATACACGAGCAATTGAATGGAGTGCAATAACTTTTAAACTTTTAAAACACATTACATATTTGTTTACGTATTGTTTTATTTGCATTTAGTAGCCTATTATTTTTGCGAGAGTAAGACCAGCGCTTCGTACGTCACCTGCCACGTGGTTCATTGTCACGTGGCCAACCCGGAAGTCTCTGCCGTGCGCTCAACATGTCAACATGTTCCCATCACACAGTTAGATCGTAGCTAAATCAGAGTTGTGAAATATATTTTGATATACCTAATACATATATATATATATATATACATATATATATTGCAACTGCGCGTGTTGCCCGCAGACATGTCTGACGAGGTGCGCTGCTTGAAGGCTCAGCTCGAGGAGAAAGAGAAAGAGATCGCTGCTCTGAAGAATAAACTGTCCCGAGTGGAAAAGGTACTGTAGTCTATTCTGAATGCTAACAGTCAATTCTGTTACTACAGAAATGTCTTTTTATAATCTATTTGCCTTTGGCTAGCAGTTTAGCATTCCTAGTGCAGCGATATAGCATTGTTGTACCTCGTCTACATAGCAATAGCATACATTGTTTATAATCGGACATGGAACATTACGTTACATTACATATATTACTCCTTTCTTAAAATGAACCTGCACACTTGATAGACAGCTAACTAGCTTGTTAGCTAGCTGGTGAATGTCCTAATTGTGATGCACGTGGTGTAGTTGAGGAAAAAATGCCACATTGGGTAATTGATAATATCTACAGGGGGTGATAACACAATATCCATGGGAATAACTCATTATCATTGCATTAAATGCTGAAAGTTTGATCCTAGAATGCAGTGCTATAGTAATAAATTCCGATGCCTTTGATTCTACAAAAAAAAATCAATGGCAGACATGCAGAAACACTACTTATCACAGAGGAGAGACGGAAAGTTATAAAAAGTCTAAAATACATTTGGAAATTCTCAAAAGAGATAAAGCACACTTAACTCATTTAGTCTTGAATACTAAATAAGACATACATAAGCATGCTATAAGCCATTTAATTCCTGCATATGAAGAGCTTCTTTCCCCCAAATAGCACCTTATGTCAGACATATGGGCTGTGTGCGTATATGTAAAGAGAGATATAAATGTAGCTCATGATATTATAGAGGCAGGCTGCTTGGGGCTGCGATGCCACATGGCTCAAAGCTTCTGTTTAAACTTGTTTCTTATATCTCGTGTTGTGATTCCTCCCCCGATAATAAGAGCCCTGCCACAGTACTGGAGCTGCATGAGAAAGTGACACCCTTAACCCCCCTGAAAGCCAAAGCAGCCCTCAGCAATGAGGACATCATGCGGTACAGCAGACAGCTCATTCTGCCTGAGCTGGGCGTACAAGGTACGAATGGCTACAGGCAGTGTTATTCTGATACGTAGCATAGTCAGCATTCTGTCAAGTGAGATTAACGGCATGACCGAACCCAACAAAGTGAATTCTGATTGTCCACAGGTCAGCTTAATTTATCCAAGACCTCAGTGCTGATTGTGGGGTGCGGAGGACTGGGCTGCCCCCTGGCACAGTATCTCGCGGCAGCAGGCATCGGTAGGTCGTCCACTTGATTAATGCTCAGCATGACCCGGTGCCAAAGAAATCAAACCATTAACCTCGGAAATAAATGGGCTGTGTGGGCGTGAGTAATTGTTGCGCTATCAACGGGTCATTTTCCCCTAAGGCAGGGTCTAAAATTAGCAATCTGGCTCACCTCCCCGCTGGCTGTTAAACTAAATAAATGTACCTGCGGGGGGAAAGGTTTCGAACCATAATTATTCATTTCCACTCCTAAAATAAATATATCACACCACCCATTTTTGTGCTGTTTAATGATTACAATCAGGTGCACTGGGAAAACTTGTGTAAAGAGCCAAGAGTATATTCACAGCTTAAGACCTACTTATTTTGGGAATTTGTTTTTCTTTTGCGGGCAAATCTATACTGCCTGTTGCCTCAGGTGGAATTTCAGCCAAACTTTGGCTGTATAGTCAACTAGGGAAAAGCAGAAAACTGAAGGAAAGCCGGTACAACATTTGAGAAAAGGCAACAAACAACAACTAAAGATAAAGTCAAGTTTTCCGAAGGCACACTTTGTTAAATTGACATTCATTCTAAAGACTTTCTGCCTGCCTGCAGGGCGCCTGGGCCTGCTGGACTATGACGAGGTGGAGCTCAGTAACCTGCACAGACAGGTGCTTCACGGGGAGGAGAACCAGAACCAAGCAAAGGCTCTGTCCGCTGCCAATGCAGTTAAAAGGTACTGATTGAGAAATGCAGTACTGCACACACTAGTGCCCAAACTGCACAAACCGACCTGAAACAGAGGCGCTAGTATTTTGATATTATTAGTAAATGTTCTCCAACTACGATAAGTGGTGTGCTTCTATGTGTTTTGTGACCATTTAGTTGCAGGGCAATACATGCTGGCGCTCTCCAGTCTCGCCACAGGTTATATTTGGTTGTGTACTTTCTCCCCAGTCTGCAGATATTGTGTAAACATGTTATTTTAGAGACACCACCTCACAGTGGGCCCAATGTGGTCAGCGCGCACATTGTGGAGCCGTGACCACATGAGGGCGCCATTTCTCTGTCTACGGATCAACCTCTTACTTTAATTGTTCATTTATTGAATTCATATTTTTGAACGTGACCTTACAGGTTGAACTCAACAGTAGAGTGTCTTCCCTACCACCTGAAGCTCTCGCCGGAGAACGCCTTGCAGCTCATTCGACAGTATCCTCAACCTTGCATCACACCTGCTAATACTTTGTCATGAAACTGTTCACTCAGCTGTGAAAGCACGAGTAGTACTTCACATACTCAGGTGGTGAAATGCGCACATGGTGATACAAACTGCGTTCTTGATGGCACCTTGACTTCGCTGACCTCATGTATGACATTGTGGCGGATTGTTCGGACAACGTCCCCACTCGCTATCTGGTGAATGACGCCTGCGTGCTCAGTGGCAAGCCTCTGGTGTCAGCCGGCGCTCTGAGAATGGAGGGACAGGTAAGGCGGAGAGGCACGAGTCCCATCAGCTCCTCTACATTTGTAATGATACTTTATCAGCCCTCTTGCTCCGTGTGTGTTTGTGTAGCTGACAGTATACAACTACCGCGGAGGCCCCTGCTACAGATGTCTGTACCCGGTTCCCCCACCCCCAGAGACGGTGACCAACTGCTCCGACGGAGGGGTGTTAGGAGTGGGTGAGTCTCGTTCCCTTACTTGCCCCAGGGAGCCCTTGACTTTGTACAGAATTCAGTCTGTGTAAATGGTAGTTGTTAGTAAATCTTTCCACGTTTCTCTTTAAGTTCCAGGGATAATAGGCTGCTTCCAAGCTTTGGAAGTCCTCAAGATTGCCTCCGGACAAGGCTGTATCCTTTGGCTTTTTCCATTCTGAACTCCCACGTTACATGCAGTGCCCTGCTTGGACATTTTGTTGCTTTGGTTTTCCAGTCATCTGGATGAACAAAGAACTGTGAAAGCGTTGTACAGGTGTTTTGTGCCTGTCTGATAAAAATATAGCATAAACAGACTCTGCTGACTCTTCGTCTGCCTATTCCTATGAGAACTCCTTTGAAGCTGCTGTGGTAAAGACTTGCATCAGAGAATAGACTTGTGCTATCCTGCCCTCCGGCTTGCATTGTGACAGCCATGCTAACACCTGGCCCTCTATAATGCGTCAGCCTGGGAAGTGCCGCGCCGTCTTCCTACCGAACGTTGCCATGGTGCTCTGCTCACACAGCAAACGGGGAGACGCGCGGCAGCCGATTCTCTGGATCAAGCAGCGCAGACGCTGACACTTTTCACATTGTTGCCGTTTTCCTTGACCCCCCCCCCCCCCCCTCCGGGCGTGACAGCTTCCTGCGGCCAGCAGCTGGTGATGTTTGACGCTCAAGACGCCAGATTCAGGTCCATCAAGCTGCGGCCCAAGCAGGCCAGCTGTGCAGTGTGCGGAGAGAAGCCCAGGGTGACCCAGCTGGTGGACTATGAGGCTTTCTGTGGGTCTGCTGCCACAGATAAGGTTGGTCATGAGAGAGGTCCTGCTCATTTTCACAGACATCAACTGGATCTTGCCATTTAGTAAGACACAGTACATGTCAGTATTCTGTAATCATAGGAAAACATCTCTTATTGGGTTTCAGTGCCGCAAACTCAACCTCCTTTCCAGAGACCAGAGGATCACGGTACAGGTAGAGCGTACATCGTCCGGAACAGTTGGCCGCTGCGTGACTCCCGGCATTTAGTGCCGTTTATTGTATGATTGCCCACAATTTTCTCCACAGTTTTCATGCTGATTACATCTAAGCGCTGACCCAGCCCCGAATGGGAAATGACTTAAAATGTGCCTGGAGATTTTCTACGGGAATTAATAACATGTCCTATTTGGTGGCGAGAGCAGCGGTAGTGGGTTGAGTCAGTTTTCTGGAGAATTAGTGTTTTCAAACCCGCGGAGTCATTAGCCTCAGAGATTGGGATCATGATTGATTGGGCTGTAATCGAGATTGTTCAAGGGGCTCCAGTAAGAAAAAAACAAAACAATTTTGTTTCCTTTGATTTAAGGAAAAGCAGTTAAAATGTTCACATTACTCCACAAAACCAAATCCGGGCTACATTTCAACATTTACCCAGAATAATTGTGGTTATCCTGTTTTATAGATGTTAATCAATGTCTTTTCCCGAAAGATGAAGCTCCACCTCTCTAATGAAGTTATTTGTGCGCTGAGGTCTGCTTTGATGTGATTCCAGGATTATAAGTCGATAATGGACAACGCAGAGCCCCATCTCTTGTTGGATGTGCGCCCTCGTGTGGAGGTGGACATATGCCACTTACCTCTCTCCCTCAGTATCCTTTTTAGAGACAGAGGCGCACAATCCATCTCCTATGTCCAATCTCTGTGTGAATGTTCTCCTTACACTGTTGCCAGACATTCCCCTCTCGAGTTTAGAGGAGAGGAAGAGCGAACATATCCAGTTACTCCAGGAGAGAATCGGCCAGTTGAAACGGCAGATGGAGGGCGACTGCCGGCCTCCAGGTAAACACGTCAGAACCCACATGTCGTTTGAAATGGACAGGCACGTAGAGCCAACTTGTGCATATTCACAGGCCGCCGTGTGGTCTCATACTGCCGGGCTTACTTTGGACAGCTAGTAGCAGGTTGTAATGGGGTTGCTAGGTGACCCCTTTTCCAAAACAAGTACGGTCAGCCCAAGCAGCTGGTCCGCCTTAGAGAAATTAATATTCAAAATGTTATTTTGGTGATGTTCTGGCTATTCACTGTGTTGAGCTTTCTTTATCAATGAGCTAAATTTAGCCTTGTAGAGCATTTAATACAGTTTTGGTTGTTTGTTATATGGTCAGTTTTTGTTCTGAACCATTTACCTTTTCTTTCAAATTCTTTAATATGTGTACCATTCAAACTCTTGTGCAGAATTTTGTCCCTTTTTAAATGTTTCTTTGTGCTATCATATAAAATAGTAATTTGAATCTGACGCATTTCACGCGTTTAGGATCCACTGGTGTCACCGAACTAATCTCTCTGTGTTCTTTCTCTGCTGATTCCTCCAGTGTATGTGATCTGTAAGATGGGGAACGACTCTCAGAAGGCGGTGCAGGTTGTGGAGAAGATGAGTGGATCAGAAGTGGACAGTGTTTCAGTGAAAGACATCTGTGGAGGCCTCATGGCTTGGGCAAAGAGAGTGGACCCCACATTTCCACAGTATTAATCCATTTTAAATTCTTTTGTTAATAAACTTGGTTTTTCCATCATTGTTCAGTTGTTTTCTTATTTGTATGCGCACTGAACTGTGTGCTGTCAGGTGGATTGGCTTTAATGTCAATACTGAATAGCAAAGTCTCACATAGAGAGAGTGTAACAATGGAACAGTTCCTAAAATGTGTTGTGTAATCTACTGTGTCGATCAGTGCATCGAAGACATGAGCTGACAGTTGGATAACACACAGGCATCCTTGCAAAATCGAATCCCTCTTCCTGTTTTTTCTTTGAATTCTTAGTATTAGAGGCCTAATAGTTAATTGAACAGATGGCTTAATGAAGAAATTAAACCTACACTTTACATTTCAGACATAACTACTGACCCTTATTTTCCCTTTAAACATCCGCTAAGCTGTTTACAGCTTTTGAGAGAGAACACAGATACTTTTACTTTCTTTGTTTATTTATTAAAGTAAAGTTAATTCAGCCCATTCCTCATTTTGCTGGGGACACATATGAACCCTCTCAATAGCACCTGAGGGCTCCTGACCCCCAATTTTGAAACTTCATTACAAACCGATTCGAGTCGTAGAATACAGTTTTTTTCTCTCTTGGCATGGCCAAGTTGAAATAACGGAAAAGAAAAGGCACATGCGCATTGGTTTGAGCTCCATCGGAGGCGCCATTGCTTCACAGGGACTGTAGTTCAGGTTTTCCTCCCCTCACATGGAAAGTCAGTTACGCGGAGATAATAAAAAGACTCCATCCCCCGGCGACGGTCGCTGCTCCTTTTTTTTTTTCCTTCTCGTCGAGCAGGGGGTTGTAGACACAGCTGGAAGGATAATAAGATGCGCACGAATTTACAAATCTGGAATAAAAGATAAAAGAGAAGAATAAATGGACGACTCGGTTAGTCTGCGCGCGCCCGCGTGTACAATTTATGTCGGTATTCGTTCCATGAGACGTTGAGCTGCGACGCTGCGCTTCTGTGTGCGACTTCCACAAAGTGCAGCATTTTAAATTCGGACTCCGCTTTCCTCAGTTGATGGAGTTACAAAGTGTCTTCAGTAAACTCACAATGGAAAGAAAAGCGCCCTTCGCTGACTGTGAAGGTAAAGTATCATTTCAGATGCATTTAAGGCGACGTTTGGCTGTAAAGGGGCTTTTTGCGCGTAGACGACACGTAAAACTGCAACAAAGTCCTCTGAATGTGTGAATCCAGGTCTTGTATAACTTGTTTTGCTGGCATTGTAGACTCGGGTTGTGCTCTGCCAGCGAGCCTATCGAAAGTGGGAGGGGTGCAGATGTTAGGAAGCCCTGGTTCCAGATGTTTGCGGAGGTGGAATTCTTGTAAACACCGACATGATACGCTTTATCAACTTTTACGCGTCCTTTGGGCTACGTTCTTTGTTGTTGTTGTTGTTGTTGTTGTTGTTGTTGTTGTTGTTTTTTACCGTTTTGCGCACGAGCATAACGGCCCGTTGTGATGGTTTTGTTAAGTTTTCCAAACGTCGATAGCAAAGTGAAAACGACTGCTGTTACGAACAAAAGTTGAAGCTGTCGCCCCTCGAGCACGGTGCATTTACATGATGGCTGTGTGAGTTGTCTTAAAGGTAACCCTGGCAAGCTCTTTTAACCAACACAATGCAAGGCAACAGCAACACACAGCACGAGTGATCATCTAAGAGATAATCTATGAGAAGTAACAATTTAAAGTTTTAAGAATTCATTCTAGCACAGGCAAATATTGATGAAGATTATTTGGGGTCTTAATTTAAAAAAAAGAAAAGAAATGGACAAGCCTGGCTGACTATTTGTGTGTAAATTGATTCCTACATGAATTCAACCCAAGAGTGTTCACAAAGGGAAGAAAAGTAGCTGTCTCATACATACAGCCGGGCTGCCCTAAGGCTCAGCAGAATGAGAGCTCCTAATGTGCCCCCGTCCTTCACTATCTCTGCTGTTTCTTTTAGATAGGTGACTGCTTTTTTTTCATTGTAAAAATAGCACTGTGTGTGTTTTTGTCTCTGTGTGTATGTTTGCGGTGACAGGCTTCCTGTGGTCAGAGTGGATAACTGACTTCAGTAAGGAGAAGGAGCTCCACTCCAGGATATGAAGCTCGCTGCAGTGACTTTACTGCAGAAGTCTGCCGAGTCTTCACAGACGTTTTTCCTCCATCACCTGCCCGCGTCTCGTGAATGAGTGTGTGTTGTGTAAGCTCAGGCGGGCGGACCCTCTTAATTTATGAGAAACAATGTCACTTTGATAAAAGAACACACAAACAGAGCTGGCTCACTACCACTGATGAGGACCAAAGATCTCCCCTGTCAAGAGTCAGCTGTGTTTCTTTCTGCCGGCCCTCTCTGAAACCTCCGCCGTTCAGCGCTCCGCGTTGCCATTGGAAGAAACCCAATGTCTGCCTCCTCTCCCCCATCCTTACCTCGAGCCTTCCTCCACTCTCTCCATCCGCACCACCCGTCCGGACCGTTGTACGCGCGGCTGTCCAACGGCGGTCACAGCGTCCCCAGCCCCACCAACTCTTTCCACGGGGTGTCCTTCCTGCTGCAGATAGGACTGACCAGAGAGACGGTGAACCTGGAGCCCAGTGACCTGTCGCTGTCCGCTGTCAAGGACCTGGTGTGCTCCATAGTGGACCAGAAGGTAAGCCTCTCGCTGAAACGCCCTTTCATATGACGTGACACTGTGCTTTTCAGTTAGAAAGGACATCTCTCATCAAACACTTTTTCTCTAATGAGGATTTCCCCAAAGACATGCAAACCTGCTACGATTACCTTATTTTCAAACTTTAGCAGGAATACCGAAGGTGGTGGAGGACCCACATGATGATGCACCAACATGTGTTTTGCCATCCTCTACCATATTCATCTGTTGAGGCTTTGTGTTTCTTTTTTCAAAGTGGACATCTGGGCCTCGTGCCCCAAAATGAGTCAAACACCGCAGAAGCGTGCACACTACAGCTCCGATTGCTCCTCCAGTCGCAGGACACGGCGTAGCAGCGCCAGTCATTTACATTGTGGTTTAATGTTACCGGACTTACATGGCGCAAGCACAGGCACAGGCACACAAGCTCGTCTGCGTACTCATAAACAGAACCACTCCGTGGTTTTGTTTTTTGGACCTACTTCTTTTTCCATGACACTGGTAATGTGCTGTAATGACACTGGAGTGTAGCCTCAGCATAAGAACTTTAAATACAAAGCACGGGCTTCATCATTTTGCCGTCTCTTATTGGGTTGTGTGAGAGTATCCAGAGGGAGAATCAATAGCGCCAGCTTTAATCGCAGTGTTCGTTTGCACTTACAATGATCGGGCCGGTCCTGATCATGGTTTTCGTCTGCTTCTTTATAACGTGCAAACTAAGAATGAGGGTACAACCTTTTTAATTATATAAAATATAATACATACTTTGTAAAGCTCCATCACCACAGATGTTGTGCCTTTGTTTTATATGAAGTGACTACTACTACTACTACAAACTGGAGGGTTAAAGCAGCCCAATAAGTATTGGAAATGAAAACTGAAAGTGGATAACTAAATAGGCAGTACTTCTAAACACATGTGCAGTAGGTGCTGGTGCTCTAAAGCTCCTGCTCAGTCATTGTCTTCTTTGAACCCATGCATGTGTGCTCCATAGTTGTGTGGGATTAATGGTGCGCAAAGCCTGTTGGAATAATGAAATGGCTCCTGTGTGCATCCACACGTCGCTGTTGTTCTAACCTCTCTTGTGTATAACGACAATTACTCCCTTTGTGTCTGTAATTACCACCGACTGAATACAAAGAGGGTGATTGAGCGAAAGCACTCTCATCAGCCACCGGGATCTGAACATTCAGGTCTCTCGGAGCTATATTTGAGTCTGAGATGATGATAATGGAAATGAGGAAAAATATTATGAGGAACAGACTTTGTGTTGAACAACAAGTGGACGATAGCGGAGGGAGCTATCTGTGTTGAGCCTGCTGTCCCTCTGGTTCCATGTTGTCCAAGTTGACATTCCAGAGGTGCGTAATGTTGTTTTTCTTTACAAGGTCTGCTGATTCTCACTAGCTAGTTATGAACAGTTCTGAGTCCCCAGAGCAGAAAATCTCATCACTGCGCATATTTACATGGATCCTGTAACATGTTGGCATAGTTGCAAGAATCTGGAACAGGAAGAGGGTGGGAAACACGGCGCTTTGAAGACAACCTGTAAAAAGTGAGTCGGTGCGGTACGTTTTTTGGCGAGTGGGTGCTGAGATTTGTCGCCCATGTGCAACTTTATCCCTGTGTCACTTCACATATCACATGCATTAATTTAGAGATGCCATGCACTCTAACAAAATGTAGCAGGAAACAATTAAATTGATGACCAACAGTCATGGGAACTTTGAAAAGGCCATATATATATAATTAATATCTGAACATAATGTACATCCTTTTCATGATTACGTACAGTGCATCATCACCACAGAACATATCCAGCACGTTCATCCACATTTCTTCTATTAAACACTGCCAACATGCAGTGCACTGCCTCAGCTATTTCATGAAATCCAGCCACATGGCTTTGATATCAATGGAAAATATGACTCTTGGCCTTCTGCGCACTCCAGTCCATCTCTGCCTCACTCCTTGCTCTAAAATATGCATGATAATGCTGAGCCTTCTTACAAAGGCTGCTCATCCTGGCAAACTTTTCCCAGCTGTGGATCTCTAACCCTGGCTTAGCCGTCGACAGTCGTCCCAGGATGTCTCCAGTCAGCAGAACCTCAGGTGTCTGTCAGCAGAGGCGAGACGGGGGAAAAAAAAAAAAAGCTTTTGACTTCACCCGGTAATATCTTTGTGGAGATAGAGTCTGGATGAAAGTGTATTCCCCCCTTTCCTGCTGTCGTTTCCTGTGCCGAGAGCTGGCCTGCTTCGCAAAGTGACTCAACAGACACGCTCATCCATTCAGTGTCAGGTTTTCTGCTGTGTCAGCTGTTGTGAACCTTCATGGTGGGATTTAGTAAACCATGATATTACCCATGTTGATGTCTTGGTGGTCTTCAAGCTTGTGGATGAGCAATTTGTCCATCCTCCTGCTGATTATCTGGGTCTGGGTCACCACAGCGGCAGGTACAAGAATAGCAACCTAGAGTGCGTTCGAGCATGCTGGGAGATGTAGTTCCCACATGGCATCCTGTCTGTGCTGTCCCAGTACGCAGCCAAACTACCTCAACTACCCCAATTGACCTTTCGGAGCAGTAAAGCTCGATTTGTCGGCGACTCAAGCGTCCGTTGAGCTCACCACCGCATCGTTACAGTCGCGTGTGTTGTACACGATCTGGTCTCAGTGTGCTTTAACTAGCATGCACTCACCACAGTAACTATATTTACATTCTTTCATTTACTGTGCGATACAGAGAGATGCTTGACCACACGCACACTTACATAGATGTGGAGTTACATCAAGGTAACTTGTAACTTCATACCGCTTTCGTCTCATTACTGAGACGGAGACTACGGCCAATGCAATCGCTGTGTTATACTACTCAAGAGTTCCCACCGGCATCAGTAACTTAGGAGAAAACACAAGCAGCCGTTATGTTCTCAAAGCTTGTGACCGTAGCTTAAGGACAGAAAGTTGAAGTGAGTGCTTTACTTTGTTGCACTGTTGCTGTTGTTAGCAAATTTTCAGTGTTATTTTTTAGTGTTCCTCTTTGAAGCCTGTTTCTTTGCTGGCTTGCCAAACTGTAAGATCACACAGTCTTTTGGTGTACGAGACAGCAACATCAGGACACACAAATTAACCCATGTCCAACTTTTCAATGGGCCTTTGTAATTACAAATGCCTATTAACACGCAGAGAAATCACTTTACGAAGCATGGATGCAAGCCGGTGTGCTGTAGCAGATGCACTTTGGATGCAGTTGACAGCTGTAAAATGTCCAGATGTTTACGTTCGCTCTCTTTTACTGTAGATTATGTGTCACGGCTTCAAGGTCGACATTTCATATCTTCCCTGAACCCTTCAGTTTTGAATCAGTCTCATTGTTTGATGGGGAGTCATGCAGCCTGCTGTAATAGCTGTGTATTGTATAGATTTCGTACGGCTCATGCCTCTTCCTGCTAAAGACTCAACCACATGACTTGGCCAGCGTCCACAGAGCAGATCTACTTTCTCTCTGTTCTCTATCTGGAGTTGGTTTTGATAGTAGTGGTTTGGACCACATTCACCAACTTTTAGTGGTTAAGGTCAACCTTAGTCCGGGGCAACCTGATATGGATAGGTTCAGTCCCAGTCTCTTAGGGGAGCTATTGCGGTTACTGCCCCTGCAATCTACTGAATACTTTAAAATATGACTGTTTAAGTGTCACCACTTGGCACAGGGGTACCGACTCAAAGCCAGGCTCCTTAAGGACTGTAAGAAAGGATGAAGGGAGCCAACCAATGGGTGGTGGAGACCCTCCCAGTCGGGTACCCATCAGTTCAGCCTTTATCCATGTTATATTCACGGTTAAGCCATGTTAATGTGGGTGATTCTTTTAGACCTCTAAATGTGCAGTGAGTTCCCTTTTTGCTTCTGCTTCTGTTTTTTTTTGGTTTTGTCACGATGGTGCATTGAATGACCCCAAGTGGCTACACGCGACTTCAAGTCAGGACAGCCTGACTCTTGCCTCTGGTTTTGGGGCTTGATGAATGGCGCGAGATAAACATCCATACACTTCCACTTGTTGAGCGCTTCCTGTTTGGTGTCGCCCAAGTCCTCTCGTGCAGCCAGCGAGGGAGCAGCGGCGGGACAAAAGTTCACGACTCCCTGAGAATGACTCCCAGTTAGCCAGCTGGTCAGCCCGGACAGCCAGCCAGCTCCAGAACATTCCTCTTCACCCAGGCATTTTTGGAGGATGATGTGATGTTGCTCGGGATGGGTGGGATTAGACTGCTAGGAAACTGAAATATTTGAAGCTAAACACTTGCTTTGGTAATGCTGAACATCTGACAAATGTTGACGGATGCTGTAATGGCGATTGCAGAATTGACAGTTTAGTTTTCAGTCTTTATGGGACTGTGCGGTATTTAATATCCTACAAAGACAATTCAGTTTTTAGTGGAGATGCTTTCTGGAGAGTGTTGGCAGCCAACGTGTTTGATATAACTTTAAAGTGTACCTTGGCATCAGTTAAATGCTTTTCTCCCTATCAACGGGGATGATAAAGCTTAGCAGGATAAAGGGAATTTGAAGCACTTCTGGCAAAGGTAATGGAAAAACCCCATTAAGCCTTCGCCTCAAATGTTACTTTTATGAATACTTTAAGTTTAGCGCTCTTCCTTAGGAAGTTTCTGCATTTTCACTCCAGCTGTGAAAGGCAGGTTTCTCCACCGGTTTTGTTAGTGCTGTAACTCGCAGTCTCTGGTTGAGGGCTGTACAGCTGCCTCTGTAATTAGCGAGACAAAGGCCTGTTTGAGTCAGAAAGGGGCGACTTTGGACAACGTACAGTACAATAGCAGAGTATTATAAAAACTAAAGGATTGTTTGGATTGTTCTAAACCGATGAGTAATATCACTTGGATGCTGCGAGGTAACACTTGGCAGAGAGAACTAGATCGGCTCAACATTCCTTTTTCAAGATTAATTAGATGGAGTTGCAACAGTGGAGATGTCTTTTTTTTTTTTTGTTTG